ACCAACCTTTTGTTCAAGCATGATATGTGGTCTGTGTTTTCGAAGGAGGCTCCCAGTTTCATAAATTAACCTAACTGCTTAATGTATGTCTCAGAGAAAAGCTGTTGTGATGACCATTAGTGTTACCTACCTGTTTCTTCACTTGTTACTAATATTAACAAACAAAATTATATTAAGGAAGAAAGAGAGAGGGAAATCCTTCCTTTTGCAATGAATTTTTAATGTGAGATTGGGCAAACTTGGCAGTGAATTGTTCAGTTCTATAATCACAAGCCCCAGATGACACATGTGCCTCTGCAAGTGAATTTTGCATGCATACATTCTGTCAGGGAGTTATAGCAGTTTCTACATCAGTTTGCAGTCCTCAAAACATCTCTAAATCTAGTGCTATTTACCAGACTCGCCTGTATAGGTTTAGTGTTGAACTGCTTGCTTGCAATGTTAATGCTTTTTGGAAACGTCCCGTGTTACGTTTTAATTTCCTGATCATTGGGTGTCTTTTAATTACCCTGATATTTATTTTAGAGAAGAAAGCAATGACAATCAAGAACACAGGGGACTGCATTTGAGGGCTGGAAACAGAGTACAGAAAGGAACCTTTCACTTCAGAGCTGCTGGTAGGAATCCAGCTCAGTTTCAGACTTAGCAAAAATCATTACTGTGTGATGGCTTCTTGGTGCTTTGCGCTCTACGTCCACAAATGAGTCAGTGTCCACATCACACAAACCACCAGAACAATTGATGCTACTGTAATTGGGAGTCTACTGGCAGCACCAGTGGAAAGGGCAGGGACATGAATGAGCATGGAAAATGAGCTGCTTTCTCCCTGCTCCCTCCGGTCACCTTTGAGACACATCTGTGTGAGGAACTTAGAAGAAATTTGATCTGTGGTAGCTCCCTTCTGGAGATAGATGGAAGACTTTACTTTCCAGTACTGACAATCTGACACCCACTAACAAACATTATAGTCAAGAAAAATAAAGATCATTACGGGAACATTTAATGTATGAAAGCATGAACTGGAAAAAAAAAAAAAGCTAAGTATGATTGAAAAATCAACAATAAAATCCAAAAGCTGACTTGAAATAATAGGAACAGAGCCAAGCAAATATTATGCCGCATGACCACTGCTGGCAACAATTGCTTTCCTCAAAAACACAGGGAAATCCTGCTCTTTTATTAAACCATTGAACAATCTCTTCAAGTTAAATCCCTTCTAGGCAAAAATAAAAGTGTACTTCCACTGTTCAAACATTCTCTTTGGAGATGAGAACGTGGACTGATGGAAGAGATGTTGGACTTTATTCAGCCTGCGATGATGCCTTGATGTCATGGAAACAGTGACTGGAAGGAGAGCTCTCAGCAGCACAGGGCACCATGGAGAGAGTGCCTTTGGAGAGGGCTGGGGCTGCCAGTGTGCATGCAAGCCAGTGGTAGAGGTTGGAAGGAACTTCTGGAGGTCATCTGCTCCAACCCCTGAACTTGACTCTTCCACTAAGTCATCTGCTGTGAAGTAGGGGAGTTCCTCATCTTAGAATTTATCTGTTACCATTAATAATTCTAAAAAAACCCACCACTGGCAGGAAACTAACTGATTGTGTACTACCAGAGATGAATTTAGCCCCATAGCTCCTGTAAGCTTCAAACAGTTAAGCTCTGAAGACATCCCTTAATATGCTGAAATGACACAGTTGCATGTGTTTACAGCGGTGAATGTGATATGAATTTCTGACTACATAAAAAGAATGTGTCTGATGTCAAGTAAGTGCATTAGCAAATCTGAAGTGTTCTGAGACATCTTGGACTCTTTATGAATTCATGCCAAATTCAACTAAAAATAGAGTAGAAACTTCAACCTCAAGTTGAAGTTTTCCACTGGAGTTCCTTGAAAACACAACATTTTGACTTTTCATGTTAAAACAGTTGAAAAACTTTAAATTGTTTCAAGAGTGCCCCAGATGTAGAAAGTTTATTTCTCAGTATATATTGGGGGTGGGGTGGGATGTGTGGAAATTCAGAGCAACCCAATACAAAAATGTGTGTGTGTTTGGGGAGAAGGGATTGACCAGAAAACTGAAGGATCTCTGCTTTTGTCTTTTTGGACTTCTCTTCAGTAGATAATGCTACTGGGCTGTGTAGTGTTATTTGTACAAAGGAGACAAAGACTTCAATATCTACATTTGTTCATTCATTCCCAGCTGTGTGGTGAGCAGGATTTGAAACCCAGGACAGGACTGTGAAGGTTGAAACTAGGTGTAACTCCTTGCTCCTGTGTCTCTTATGAGATATACCTGTATCATGAGGGTGGTGGGAAATAAGCACGTTCTTTCAGGGTAAATATGGAGAAGTACTATGGAGCACGACAAAGGTGTGAGGGCCAACTTCAAAGTTTCTGGGAGCCAGGGGATAACAGTGCCCACAACACAGATTTCAGAGCTAAAAAAAAAAAAGAAGTGTGAGAGGATTTCAGCATCCTGTATCACACCACGGGTTTCTTTTAGTGAAGAGCATGTGGTGCATATTTTTCCCTTTTCTATGGCCAGTGTTGAATTCCTCAGGGGACTGGTGATTCTGCAGAAGGCTGGATCCCTCGGGCAGTGCCTAGCCCTACCCTCTGCAGGCAAGGAGGAGAGGGGCCCGAGGGGCTGCTCCTTGGGCAAGGAAAAATCTGCGTGATTTTTTGATCAGCCAAAGCAAGATGCTGAATTCAGCAGAGGCTGAATTTATGAGAACAGCAGCAGGAGGTGGGATGAAGGGTTTAAATGGCGAAAAAGCTTTTAATAGCAGTCTGTATTATAATAAAAGTGTTTGTTTCAGCGTTTCTGCCAGCCAGTGTAAGCAATATAAGTTTATAAGTAGCTGATATTTTCACATAAAAGAAATGCATTTGTCCACCCTAAGTGCCTATTGCTTGGCAAGCAGATGACTGGTCATATTATTAGGCAGACTACTGTGTCCATGGGCAAAGGCATCCTCCTTAACGTGAAGAAAAACCTGTGAAGACGTAAGCCATAATATGTAACAACAGAAAGCAGTATGTGTGAAAGCAGTGCATAAACCCCATTGACTAAAATAGTCAGGGTAAGATCACTATTGAGAAATATGAAATTATTTTTGAAAAAGAGCCTTCCAAGGTAAGTCAGAGGCCTGAAAATGAACTGCTTTTGTAAATTTCCTGCAATACCGTATAGTGAACAAGGTTACACATGAATGAAACCATGATGTATGATTTGGCTTCTTATGCATTGAAAATCCTTTAAAACTATAACTGCAGTGTTCATTCCCAAATGATTTTACTTTATGTATTTATTTAGAGAAAACTGAAGCAGTTTGCCATTTATGTGTATTCAAAAGCTGCGTATTTCCAAGACTATAAAGAAAACCTTAAAAAGAAATTACTTTCAGAACTCAAATAATGATATTTTTAAATTCATAGGAAAATGCATTAAAATGAAATAGATATAAAAAAGAGAAGTCTCAATTGTCCTTTTTTTACTACTTGATCATAACAAGTGATTGTGATGCACGCATAAAACTGGATAGCATAGATTTTTGTTCATCATGTGTATTTCATTTTCTGTTATGCATTTGCCCGAACAGTTGCTTTCCATATTGTGAATTCTCTTTTGTGTGAATGTTTTGAAACACTTAAAATTGGAGATCATGTAAAATATAGCTGGTTACAACATTCTAAATTTGTGCATAAGCTCTCTCAGATTTTAGCTTTGTGTACACATACACAAAATCTTAATTTTTTAGTTCTTGAAGTTAAGTATATGCATTTATAATAGCAGGAAGAGACCTGGAATGTTTAATTAAACTTCAAAACCATATAAATAATACTTGAATATAAGAACTGTGTTGCACACCATTAGATATTTGTGAATTTCCACCTTTTTTTCAAGCACCCACATCTTTCTAAGCATGTACAAGATGAAAGTCCAAGTTATATATAGCAATGGTGCTGCTCAGGTTATGTTCTTAATAAGCAACTCTAGAAAGTGTTCAAGCTATTAAAGGAATACTATTTCATTCATTTATACCTCAGAAATATTAGAGAAATGTGATTTTTGTTGAAATTACTCCTCTTAAATAATTAATTTCTCCTACCTTTCAACAGAAAAAAATTAATCACTGAAGAGGATTCTACAAAAACCAATTGTCTGAGGATAAAGTTTACTCAAAAGTGCTCTCATTTTGCACACATTGCTATTTAAAGTACCTTTAATGTAATGGTTTTCAGCATTGATGACTGCTGTCAAATAAACCTTTATGTCACCCTGCTCAGCAAAACCTTTGCACTGTCTTCGAAGCAATGTGCTGTTAATTGCTTTCTTCATAGGCTGCTGGATGGGAGAAACTATGTAAATAAGGGGTTTACATTAGAGATGCATGAAGTTTTTAAGGGGGAGAGGTCAAAATTTTTAATTAGGTAGAATGTGAACTTTGGACGAAGATTTCCTGTGTCTTAGGTGCAGCCCATCCATTCCTAGTACTGGCTTATTCTCAGGCACTAGTTTCCTTATGCCCCTTATAGCTGTGCAACTGTCTGTACAGTCTTGCTTAAGCAGAGCAGAAGTCTGCAAGTGACTCCCTGTCCTGGTGGGCAAGATGTCAGAAAAATGGTCAGTGAAAGAAGGAACGATGTGATTCAACCAAAATCTTTTCATTGTGCCACTAACCCCCCACAAAACTGTGAGGTACAGCCCTGCTGGGAAGATAGGATTAGAAGTTAAAGGTTGCCATCTAATGGTGAACATATAAAATATGGTCTTTATGTTTTGGGGTTTTTTAAAGTATCTTTTCTACCTTTCTCCATTTAGCTCTGCAAATCCTTTTCTTACAAGACACTAGAGGAATGAGACTGTTGTTTTATTCAGATTTTACCTGAGGTGATACCTGCTAGTTTATCAGTAACAAGATGTTGCAACAGAATATGAATTTTCAGCCATTCTGTTTAACTGAATTCTAATTTCTTAATGCTTTTTCTATGAATTCAGATATAGATGAGTGTTCCTTCGAAAGGACCTGTGATCACACCTGTATCAACTATCCTGGAAGCTTTGAATGTCTCTGTCATAAAGGCTACACATTGTATGGACTGACGCACTGTGGAGGTTTGGAAACTGAGTTTTGCTTATCTGTTTGTTTGCTTTGTAGACTGTTTACTGAGCCATGCTTTTTTTTTTTTAACTGAAGATTTTAGAACTGAAGAAGATAAACCAATAAAGTTAAAATAAAGCTAAAATAGCATGAACTGGGTGTGACTAAAATTTCAGCACCTCAAATTTGTTGAAGCATTCCTAGGAGAAGAACATAAAGAACCGTTGCTACACATTTTTGTGATGGTGGTACCTAGCAGTCTTAGTATAGACCAGAAGCCTGCAGCTGTGACACTTTCATCCACTGCTGCAGGGATGCAACAACCACCGCCGGGCAGCATCGTGGCTGGGGTTCATCATGCTGTACAGGATAAGCTTCCTTACAGAGTTTACAAGCGCAGAGTACCAGTTGGTACTTCTGCACGAGTGAGATTAGTCACAGTTGTATTTACAGAAGGAAGTCTTCAAATGATGGGCAGCAAAAAGAATAGGAGAGGGATGTCAGTTTTACAAAGTTTACAAATTTTGTCTCTTTTTACCAGACTGTGACATAAACTGCCCGTGAAAATCATAGCAAGAAGGCTGTGGGGTACCCTGTTCCCATCTTCTGTGGAGCTACTTCAGCTCTTCAACTTTTTTGGCATGACTGGAAAGAATTGGTGCTGCAATGTTTGGTTATCCAGGAGAAGAATATTTTTTAAGTGCATCATAGGGCAGCATGACCACAATGACCAAATTAGGGATTCAACTTCTATTTGACCAAGGGAGAAGAATTTCAGAGCACTCAAATTTATCTTTAGCCTCAGTTCAGCTTCAGTCTTTTAAATGAGACTAAAGTAGGACCAAAACTCTAACTGGAAATACTCAGTGCTGGACTTTGGGTAAAAACATAACCAGCTCCAAACCTCCTGCTTTTTCCTGTAATGGGCAGATCCAGAATCACAGCTCTGAATCCAGACTTGTCTAGGTCCTGAGCTTTGCCGCTCAGGCCTATCATTAGTTTTAGTCAGCCCCTGGAGAGTGATGTTGACAGTGGAACAAGTAACTTACCCTGGCTGCCATCCATATGGCACTGAGCAGAAGTCAAAACTAAGGAAAAATAGTGAGAACCTTCAAAAATATTTGGTGCCAGCTTGTCTCTTATTAAGCTTTCTCTTGGTCTTGCTTCCCCTCTACTAGTAATTAATAAACAATGTGGCAGTGTCCCTGTTCTGGGCCTTCCATGCTGAGGGGCAACCCTTGCTGTTCTCTCTGGGATCTTTCTCATGCCATCTTTGGAATAGAAGTCATGTTTCATAAGGGAATCTTTTAGAAGGACAGCCCTAAGCACTTATACCACCTGCTTATGTAAAGCCCTCCTTGCAGTATATACTGGTTTAGTCACCTTAGGCAGGTCAGTAGAATCTGCAGGACTGATCAATGCCTTTGGGAATTTCTCTGCTTCTTCAGGAGCTTGGTTCTGGGATGACGTACTTGACAGCAAGAGCTCAGGTTTGAACAGTTCAGCCAGAGCTCAGTGGCAGGAGCACTGTGGATTAAATGTGTGTTTCAAAGTATGGGTTCACGAATAGATTCCACTCAGCATAAGACTAACTGCTATGTACAAAATTTCCCAGAAAATGTTTTTTCTGGGACTGTCTCCCTTGTCAGTTTTTAGAAATGCTGACCCAGGGCCTCCAGAAGTCCTGACTCTGACCCAAAAATCATAATGTTGTCTAGAACCATGGCTGTCATATTAGGGTGTCTTTCTCAGTTTCTTTTATGCAGGTACTCCATGTTTTCTAGGTTTTCGCTTAACCACACAGGCTAAAGTCTTGCATCAGAAAAAGAAAGCTGTTTCTGGATTCCAGCAGCTGCCCCAGTAAATATTCCCATTTTCCCATCAAGTGCCCCAAGATGCCAGAGGAAATCTTGGCTAATAAGTGTGGGCCTGCATTTGTTAACCAGTGCAGGGCCTAAGTGTGTGTTCGAGCCCAATCCTCTGACTTTTGATGGGGTCACTGGGCTCCAAAACTGGGGCCTGGGGAGAACTGGCGTGAACTCAGACTGTGCTCCTGCAAACTGTATGGGTTCACCCAGCGCCAAGCACACGGCAATTGGAGTTCAAGCCTGGGCTCAGGCATGGTTTGGAAAGGCGGATTAGACACTCAGCCTGGGAGCGTTTATGGCCAGACCTCCCTTAGAAACACGTTTAAGTGACAATTTTCCCTCTACAGTTAGATTTTGAGGCCTATCATTAAGCCAGGAGTATTAGCAATTTAGTATATCTCCTGTTGATTTGATGTTATTCTAGCTCATTTGAGCATATGTCAAATAGCGCGGTCTATGTGCCTTATAAAAGTCTGTTACAGTAATGCTACCATTTCAGCAAGCAGATGGGTAGCTGTGCTCAAAGGGCAGAAACCACTTGTTGTTGAGGTTAATACAGTGCCTAAAGCAGCAGGGCTGTGGTTCGTAACAAGGGCTTTTAGGTTATGGCTGTACTAGTAAATTGAAGAGTCTGGAGCAGCAGCGTGCAACTGGTTCATATGTTCACTGGTGCCATATGACAATTTTGGCCTGTGCCATCTGGTGTCCCAAGTGTGATCCAGAGGTCAGTACATGGCAGCACAACTCCTGTTGAGTGTGATGGATGAACATCCTTCCTGGTGGTGGAAGGAGAGATGAGAGATTGGCCTCGTCAGCACAAGTATATAAATGCTGACTGCATAGACTAAAAAGGGTATACCTCATATTGACTAAATACTTTCCTAATGTATCTAAAGTTGAAAGATTTTATGTGGATTATCAGTGATAACGTACCTGGTAATTGCTTTGCCTTCTTGCAAGCTTTTACCTTTCATTTTTATTTGAGGAGAAGACTAAATAAAACTACACTCCAGCTGCTAGGATCCTATCAAATATGTAGTTTCCTCCTTCATCTGAATAATTTCTAAAAGAAAACTGTGAATTGCTATGGAGAATTTATCTCCCTGTTATGCAAAAGTGATCTAATCTCACAGATGTTTGTACCTTTGACATTTTTTCACATAATGCAGTATATATTAATGTCTACATGCTGCAGAGACTTTTGAGCATGTTTTGTATCTTGTACTTCCAAGAATTTCAGTGCAACCAGTCCTGACGTTTAAATGGTATTGTATGCATAAATCCTTGAAAGGGTAGGAGCTATACATGTGTCTATGGACAAATACATGCAATATGCACTAAAATTGTTTGATGTGAGTATTGTCTGCATTTTAACATGTTTATATAGATTTAAATGTAAAATATATAGTAGAAGCAGATATCCTTATGAACATAATATCTTAATGTACAGTATACATGTGTACATATGGTTAATAATCTTCTCAACTTTAATCACATTTTCAGATATTGATGAATGCAGCATCAGCAATGGTAGCTGTGACTATGGGTGTCTTAATACAATGGGGAGCTATGAGTGTGTCTGTCCACCTGGAAAGAAACTGCACTGGAATAAAAAGGACTGTGTTGGTAAGTGTGGGAGGCTGACTCAGAGGTGACTGTGGTGATGCTCCTGTTCTCCAAGAGGGTGGAAAAGCCCATGGTTTTGTCTCAGAGGTGCTGCATTTTTGCAATGTAGGTCCCCAAATTAATTTTATAAATTCAGATAACACCTGATCCTATGGGGGTCCATGGGCTAGGATATGACTGCAAGTGGATTATAGAATAGGTAATATGTTGGATTTCATTTGTGTTGATTTTTTTTTTAATTTTACAAATCCATTCACACAAATAAAAGCCATCTTATTTTTATGTATTTTATACTTCTGTCCTTAATTTGTCCTTCGTCCATCTCTATGACCTCAGCTATAACTCTGTTTCCCTTTAAGACTAATTTAGAGTATTCAAAATATTTAACTGTGTACAAGTAGGAAATGGTATTCAGGTTAATATTTGCATTCACAGCACCATACTCCAATTTTTCAAGTTATCCCCAAAGGTATCCTGCTTAATATAAAGTACTGCTGCTAGCTGTGTCAAAAGTATTAATTTCAATGAGCACAAATCCTAAGACCACTAAAATGATGGCACTTGCTGCTAGTGCCACTTACTTTGTGGTAGATCTGAATGTCTGTATCCTTTAAGCAGATGACTTTTTGGCCATGGCTACAGACGTTCAAAGTACTTTCTGTGAGATTTTAATTCCGTTTTCACATTTTTAATGGGAATAGCATACCTTAGATCTTTCATAGTCAAATTTAGGTTGTGGGGTTTTATTTGTTTTGGTTTTTTTTTTTAATCATGAATAACTTCTCATAGATACATTTGGGGCTCATGCCTAATACCTAACTGGGAGCAAGGCAGAACAAGAAAAGGGGGGACCTTACTTAAGGAATCTCTGCACATATTGGGGGAAAGCACTACAATCTGGGGTAGAGAGTATTGGCACTGGCCTCTTGCATGATCATGCAATTGTGGCATTTTTTCACTTACATGGATATGTAAGCAGTAAGGAAAGCACTTTATAACCAAGGTGGAGTGGGGTGGTGGGTGAATATCTCAAGCTGGGTATCTGCCTTTGCAGCTGACTTTCTTCCGAACCACAACTAAGTACTTAATTTTTCCCGCTCGGCTTGATGTGTGTTACCTTCCCTGCTATATAGAGAACTAAGTACTGTAGGAGTAAGAAATGGTTTACTCTGTTTTTTTTAATTATCCACTAGGTCTCCCTTGCAATGTACCAGTTAGTCCTCTGGAAAGGAGTCTGTAAATTAACGACAGGGACAAAAATCTTTTGAGGTCTGGTATATAGTTAGACCGCAGAAGTTTTGTGCTATATTCCCTCTTAACCTACTAAGAATGCTGTTCCCACGGTACGAGGCTGTATTGAAAATAACTTCCTAGTTGTAAATTTCTCTTCATTATTTGTAATACTCAGTTGGAAGATGGGAAATAGAACACTCTTCTCTATTGATATACACTGTTTTATTTGATGAATTTAATGAGGCTTAAAATGAGTGTCATCTTCCTGCTGATAGCCTGCCTTATTACCAACATTGTTTAGAGGAAACTGCATTCTACATTGTTATAAAAGCACAATAGAAAGGAGGAGAATGATATCTAGTGATCCTGAACTCCACGTGATTTGGAGACATTTGCAGTAACAAAATCTTTTGCTCAGCAATGACACTTTGTGCTTGTGTTGTCTCCTTAGTCCAAAGAAATAATTTCTTTAAAAATATCACCAAAGCAACATAAGACCTTAGGAGGGAGGTAAGTGGAGGATGATTATTCCCACATATGGCATCTGAATATCAGGCATGTTTAAGGGACTTGTATACATTTATATTTAACTAGCAGTGAGGCCAGGAACATGAACTAGCTGGTGGCTGCTGGAACCCTTCTTCTGCACTCAAGCCAAGCCAAGCAAGGCTCATTAGAGCTACTACATTTGAATTGCCCTGTTTCATCCCAACTTTAGTGGGCTCTTCCCAAACCCTGGTGGACCCAAACCAGTCTGGCTGCTGCAGCTCTGGTCTCCCCCCAAACCTTGGTGTGGTTCAGTGGTGAGCTGACGAGGTAGGCAAAATGGCATTTACTGTAGCACAGGCAGCCATAAGCAAAACAAGAGTCAGCCAAGTCCACCTTGTAAGGTGGGTGTTTTTGGAAGAAGTAGCAAGAAACAGTTAGAGAAAGAGCATGTGCACCTGAACAGGCGTTTTTACAGTCCTGAAGCAAGAACTGCTCTGCAGACACCTGGCTGAGCTTTAACTGGCTGATGCAGTGTGAAATATCTGCCTGAAGAGGTGCCCAGCTGCACTTGGCCAGCAGTCAGTGCCGAGGTTACATCTCCGGGGGAGAGGAGGGAAGTGGTGAGACTGCCTCAGTGCAGGTTGTGATGGCACCTCCCAGCCGTAGCTGAGATTGCACCTTGTCGTTTGTGTGGAGAAAGATGTACTCAAGTAACACTTCAGTCCCAAAAGATGTCCAATTAAAATAAGTGCAGGATTATAATTATCAGTGACATACCATCATTTTGGGGTGAAGCACAGAGACTGGTCAAACAATTCATAATTTCATGTAGCTTCAGTTAAAACACAGTCCCTTACCCCAATATGAAGAGCAGCTTGTGAGACCTGCAGGATACTCTGTCTTCATCCTGCCATGAAACCAGGAGGAGAAGCTGGATATTTCCATCACATGAGCTGCAATGTGCCTCGTGCGGTGGGTGCTGATGAGAAATGACTGATGTCTAGGTGTGTCACAGTGTCCCTTCTAGCATTGCTTGGGGTATTTCAGCAGCCACTGAAAGGATCGGTGGGACTATCCATCTCCATCCCATCGTGTCCTGCCTCACCTCTGCCTGTCTGGGAAGTTTTCAACTTCCAGAAGCTAGAGCATGGAGCTAAAATTAAAAAGTCTGTGGGAGTTAGAGTGAGAAGTGGAAAATACCATTTTAGCGGTCATCTAAAAAAAGAGATCTTTGTGAGGGTGACTCCTGTGCATGGTGTGGTAGTTGGCCTGTTAAACCAGAGAACTGTGCCTCCAAAAGTGGGGAGAGGACATCTCAGGTCATCAGTATTACCTGTTGCTTTGGAGATCAAAGTGTGCACACAGAGTTGTGCTCGTAATTAGAGACAAACCTTCCTTTCAGAGTGCAGATCTGGACCTGAACAATCCCAAACTGGAGGATAGGAACCTAGAGTTTAGGTCTAAAAATGTGAAGGAGTTTCATTTTCAAGTTCCAGATAGATATCTAGATCCAGATACTATCTCCCTACTATGTGCTTATTTCAGAAATTCCTGGGCCTGTGATTTTGCTTTGTTGCCACTTCTATCTTTCCTCACCACTTTATGCAAGTGGATGCACAAGATTCTGGGTTGGGCACTGTCTGAGGTTTTTTTCATGTTTCTATTTTTTTTTTCTCCTCAGAGATGGTGAAATGTCTCCCGAATGCCAAACCAACTCCCAAGGCTCAGCTAGTGTGTAGTAAGACAGCAGGCATAGAGAGCTGCTTCCTGTCATGCCCATCCAATACTCTTTTTGTTCCAGGTTTGTACAAAGTATTTCTCCTCCTAAGTCTAGAATGTGACTTGATGATTTTTCTCTGCTAATGTGTTAATGATTCTTGCATTTGTTTTTTGTTATGAACAACTGTAAATAAGCAAAAACATCATTATAAATTAGATTATGCCAGACATGCACATCATTAAATACAAGAAGAGCTGATTGTTAGTTATATTAAAGGTTTGGCCCTTCACTGTTTAATTTGAGGTGTTATTTCTGGTGATGGGGAGATTCTAACAGAAACCTGAGAAAAACATCTACCTCAACCAGGATGGTGGATGCTGTGGTTTGAGCCTGGTCATCAGCCAACCACCCTGCAGCCGCTCACCCATCCTTCCCCTCCACACCTGGAAACGGGTGAGGGAATTGGAAGGGTAAAGGGAAGCTCGCAGGTTGAGACAGAAGCAGTTAAATAATGGTAATAAAATGAAAACAATGACAGTAATAGAAAATATAAACGGGCAATGGACAATGCAATTGCTCACCACCCGCTGACCAATACCCAGCCCGTTCCCGGCCAGCGATCCCAAAATACCAAGATCCCCCAGTCGCAATCCCAGAAATGAGAGAGAGAGAGAGAGACCCTTCCCGACCACCCCTCCTCTATATTGTGAGCATGACAATACATGATATGGAATATTTTGTTGGCCAAACTGGGTCTGGTGCTCTGGCCGTGCTCCCTCCCTGCTTCTTGTGCACTTGCGCACGGGAAGGACACAGGGAGTCCGGAGGGTCCTTGAAATCTCAATAGCAGCTGAAAACATCAGTGCGCTATCAGCATTCTTCTCATACGAAACGCAATGCTGAATCTAAAACACAGCACTGTTCTAGTTACCGAAAAGGAACATTAACTCTATTACAGCCCAAACCAGGACAGTGGAAAAGAAAGTTTTTAATACATTGAATTGCTGTGTCAAAAGTGAGAAAAAAATTAACAGTTGATTTCAGTGAATTACTGCTAATTTTTAGTACCATGTTTTTCAACTTGAGTCAAGTCCCCTGTGCCTATTCAGGCATCTGCTTAAAATGATGGACTCTGCATCATGGCCTAAAATACCCTGTAATTGCGTGATTGAGCAGGAGCAGAAACAAATCCCAAAGCGGAGGGTCGCCCTGAGAGGAACTCAGCTTGGCGCAGACAGTGTGAGCCAGAGGCAGGAGGGCACCGGTGGGACACACTGGGAAATTTAATTCTGTGACTGCCACAGCAGATGATCAAGCTCACACGCCTGCCAGGGAAGCCTAAAACTTCCACCGGCTCAGCCAGGCACCCTGGAGCAAAGGATGACCTAGCAGCAGCTTTAAACCTGTCTTACTGTCTTGTACAAAATTGATACAACTAAGTCTGTTTCAGGAAGCTGTGTGGCCAAAAGGATCTCCCAGTATTAGTTGCTGCAGTTGCTGGGTTTTAATGAATTTTGCTGGTAATAGTTCAGCTGAGTGTTATTGATAGAAAATCAGGCATTTCAACTCCCCCTTTTTTTTTTTTGTATCATTTGCTACATTTTCATGTAATTTTTCATCTATACAGTTCTGCAGGGCAGGTGGGGCGGGGGATTGCTATTACTTTTTCATATATGTTCTGAGGTTCTGACACAGGTTTATTTTTCACAAGAGCATCTCTACTTTTCATGTTAGTCTTGGCATTACATGCGGTAGAGCTGTTCACACTTTATTTTCAGTTTAGCAGAGATTACTGGAAACATGCATTTATCTAATTTGTATGCACCAATACCCAGTTTTATCTGTGCAATATGTAAACCTGTTACAGTTCTAAGTATGTTATTTTTTTGTTTCTGCCAATAGATTCTGTCAGAGTATAAAGCTAAAATTATTATGAAAGTACGTGGTTTATTTTTTAAATTAGAGATGATCAACGCGCAGGGACTCTGCCATGAGCAAACACAAAATATTGTCTACTTGTGCACCACACAATTATTTACAGTTAACCTCATGCCAAATTGTTTATATAGTGTAACATTTCAGTGCTGGAAGAAACAAAACTTACAGTCAGCACTGTGAAGCTGTAGCCTTTGGCAAACTATTTCAGCTATTTAAAATCCAAGTTCAACACTTAAAATATCTCCTCATTTAGCAGTATTAAATAAGTTTGTTGAAGCACTGAACATTACTGCTGGGGGTGACAAGGAGAGCAGATGCTTTGTGAGGAGGCTGTTGCCACATGTGCTGACTGTGTTCTGCCCTGCAGATTCGGAGAACAGCTACACGCTGAGCTGTGGAGTTCCTGCCCAGCAAGGCAAGGCCCTGCAGAAACGCAACGCCACCCTGCCCAGCTGTGCAGGTAGGTGCTCTCCTGCTCACCCGGGCCTTGGCATCTAGGAGGTAGGTGGTGAAGGTCCCCCAGACCATTTGGGAGTTGCAAGACATACACCTCTCTAGTTACACAAGGCCAGAATCACGGTAGCCTCTGTTTCATCGTGCACACACTCGTTTTTCTGCCACCTTTCCTTGAGGGCTGGAGTGTGCTTAGCTGCCCTCAAGCGTGGCAATGTGTTGATAGGTCAGTATAGGAGCAGTGGAGGTTTGAGATATATTCAGTAAGAACAAATATTTAGAATAATTTATTTCCCATAGTCCAGCAAGGCAATAGTGAGCGTATCAAAATGGCATTTCTTCCCAGACTTGGAAGCGAGTCAGAGGGACCCATCAGTATCAGAAGAGCAGAAGGCTACAGTGGGTCCCAGCCCTCACCTGCGAAGTCTTTCCTCAGAAGCACAGATCCTCCTACTGGGGATTCCCAATAAAAAGGTTTTATGAGCCCATACCTTGTTTCATTCACTTTGTTCTCAGAAATGGCTGGATTACTTTTGCAGAGACATTTAAAAGTGTGTCTTAAAGTTGATACTCATCATTAAAAAACAGTTCAGCCCAAAATGGTTGAAGTCTGGCAAAATTAGAAGCAGCTGAAACAGCATCCAGCAGTGGGAAGTCTCAACCCACTTTACGTATCATTACCTGCTCTACTTCTCTCCAATTTGCCACTTTTCTAACCACGTATTTCTTACATATTTGGACTGTGTTAGGAGGTACAATGCAGATGTGTCTGCCTGTGGCACAGGGGCAGGCTACCTCTGTAGTCCTGGTTCAGCAAGGCCCTCCCAAGGAAAGAGGGACCCACGTTGCGGCACTTACCTGCGACCACCCTCTACCTGCTCTGGGTCCCGTGGGCAGCCCGCAGCAGCTGTCCCGTGATGGGCCAGGCCCAGCCTTTTCCACCATGGACTTTGGGAGGGAATCAGCCAGCAGCTACATTTCCTAAGCAGTGCCTGGCTGTATAACAGCCTTTAAAGTAACAAGACATAATTGGCTTGGATTTAAAGCTGAAGAATAAAGCTTGCAAGCCATAGACTGCAGTCAAATAAAAACACTTCCTTTGGATTGTTTTCAAATGCTAACAGTGTAGCTTCACTAAATTTATCTTATTCCTGGTTAGCATTAGCAAGAGCAGAATTACAGCCAAGTAACATGGGAAGTCAGGCAGAGTGAGAAAAAAAAGGTAGGAATTAACCTTTTTCATAGTGAGAGACAAAGTTGCCCAAATTCCACCAAGATGTGTAGGCCTGCTGGAGGGGAAACATACGTGCAGAGCATGTGTGATACTAGCAAATTCATTGATCTTTATGGGCTCAAGAGTAAGTGCTTATGCAAAAAAATGAACTCATGGAAATGGATCCTCTTGTACAAGGTATAGAGCTCTTGGGCTGTCTCTTTTCTATGTTGCAAAAAGACTTTTGAGTCTGTTTTTAAAAATAAGTTTTAGACTTCATTTCATCTGCTGCCAATTGATAGCTTTTTTACTTTACATCAACAGATTCATTAGCCCCTCCAATCAAGCAGAAAGCTCGTTTTAAAATTAAAGATGCAAAGTGCCATTTACGGCCTCGCAGCAAAGAAAAAACAAAAGACTCTGGGAAGCAAGCTGGTTTAGGTACGTGGTTTCTTCTAACATATAAATAGCATTCTGATTTTTTGTTTGTTTGCTTGCTTGTTTGCATATTTTGTTTTCACACTGCAGATGGAAAAAAACTAATGGTTTTCATATTTCAATCTAAATTTAAGTTCAGGCCAGAGTTCACACTCTAGTTTAGCAGTGCCTCAGGTTTGGTTCTAATAGAGCTGAAATCATAGAATGGGTTGGGTTGGAAGGAGCCTTAAAGACCATCTAGTTCCAACCCCCCTGCCACGGGCAGGAACACCTTCCACTAGACCAGGTTGCTCAAAGCCCTGACTAACCTGGCCTTGAACCCTTCCAGGGAGGGGGCAGCCACAGCTTCTCTGGGCACCCTGGGCCAGTATCTCACCACCCTCACATTAAACAATTTCTTCCTTATACTTAATCTGAATCTACCTTCTTTCAGTTTAAAACTGTTACTCCTTATCCTATCACTACACCCCCTGATAAAGAGTCCCTCCCCACCTTTCCTGTAGCCCCCTTTAAGCACTGGCAGGCCGCTATAAGGTCTCCCCGGAGCCTTCTCTTCTCCAGGCTGCACAACCCCAACTCTCTCAGCCCGGCCTCACACGGGAGCTGCTCCAGCCCCCTGAGCATCTTCACGGCCTCCTCTGGGCCCACTTGAGCAGGTCTATGTCCTTCTTATACTGGGGACCCCAGAGCTGGACCTGGTGCTGCACGTGGGGTCTCACGAGAGCAGAGCAGAGGGGGAGAATCCCCTCCCTCGCCCTGCCGGCCACACTTCTCTCGATGCAGCCCAGGACACAGTTGGCTTTCTGGGCTGGGAGCGCACATTGCTGGCTCACAGTCAGTTTTCCACCCACCAACACCCCCAGGTCCTTCTCCGCAGGGCTGCTCTCAATCCTCTTATGGCCCAGCCTGGATTTGTGCTGGGGATTGCCCCGACCCGTGGGCAGGACCTTGCACTTGGCCCTGTTGAACTTCGTGCAGTTCACACGGGCCCCCCTCTCCAGCCTGCCCAGGTCCCTCTGGATGCCATCCCTGCCCCCCAGCGTGTCGACCGCACCACACAGCTCGGTGTCGTCGGCAAACTTGCTGAGGGTGCGCTCGATCCCCCTGTCCGTGTCACCGACAAAGGGGTTAAACAGCGCTGGGCCCAGTACTGACCCCTGAGGAACGGCACTTGTCACCCCCCTCCACTTGGACATTGAGCCGTTGACCGCAACTCTGAGTGACACCATCCAGATAATTCCTTATCCACTGAGTGGTCCATCCACCAAATCCATGTCTCTCCAATTTAGAGACAAGGATGTTGTGTGGGACAGTGTCAGATGCTTTGCACAAGTCCAGGTAGATGACATCAGTTGCTCTTCCCTTATCCACCAGCACTTTTGTCACCACTTGCTTTGAAATATTTTTGTTCAAAAGTACGTGAGCTTGGAATTAAGCTAATACTTTTTCTGGCGTTGATAATGTCAGAAATATCCTGAGACAAAATTACATGAAACAGTGTCAGTTTGGTTTGGTTTAATATTCCGAGATGAAGTCTATAAAAAGAAAACAAAAACTGTTACTTACTTGCTTTATGCTGGATTAGTATTCCATTGCAGCAGCAAAGACAACCCCTAAGTGGGAAAGTTATAATCAAAATCTGATGTTACACAGCTTTAGATATTTTGCTATGCTGGAGTGAGTAATTACGGTGTTAGAAAAAATATAGAATATTTAGACATGACGACCAAAAATCTGAAATTAACAAAAAGTTTGTGTCAGGCTGAATCAAAGTAATCAAATGTTTTAAAAAATCAGTATAACTAGGTATGGGGTTTTATTATTACTAGTTTTGAACTTGACTTTTAAAGTTGAACAAAAAAGAGATTTTAAAAGTGGTATGTATTTAACAGATCTTCATAACATTTCTTGTCCTCCATCCCCTTGATATTGTGACAGGGACAATTAAAGAATGTTTGGGTGTTATTATTGTGCATTTCCACAGCTTAAAATATTTGCAGTTCATTACAATTTAATATTCACTCTAATTTTTCCAGATTTTAGTACACAGTATTGTTGTAATTACAACAGCTCATATTGTTGCTTAAAGCAACTTAGCATCTTACAGCAAACATCAACTGGTGACATATTCTCTGTTGTGAATCTGTCTTACCACCACTTTCGATAGTAAGGAGTCATATATGAGACCTAAACAGAGAAGAATAAAAATAGATATCCTAAACAATTGCTAATGGTTTAAAGACTTTATTTTTAAAATTTAGACTCATATTTTTCTTTACCCTTCAATCTAGAGATTTATCTCTCTAGTTTTCCAAGCATTGGCTTAAAACAAGGCTCAGTTGTCATGCTGCTTACCTTGTCTGTATATGTTGTCTTCTTTTAATAAGATGTGATTATTAGACTCATTTTTAAAGTCATAGAAGTTGATATTTTTGGTCTATACAGTCACCATGGGAATGTATTTCTTGCATGCATTTCCTTGTCTTTTGTTTGCTTAGCTTTGTGTTTGTTATGTCATCTGAACTTCTGGGTCTAACAGTAAGATTGTATCATACAACCACACACTTGGAATGGAATCCTTCTGGTGGCTTGAGTGCTAGAAATTTCTCCCTGACCTGGAAGGTCAGTCACCTATCACAAAAAGGATGTTTTTCACATAGATTTCCTTATATAGGGAGAGGACACTTACGTGATTTGTCCTAACAGACTGTGGCCTTTCTCCTCAGTGGTTACACATAATTGATGAGGGCATTCAGTTCTTCTGGCTTGTGATAAGACAAGAGGAAACTGCCTCAAGTTGCACCAGGGGAGGTTTAGATGAGATACTAGGAAAAAATTCTTCACCAGAAGGGTTGTCAAGCACTGGAACAGGCTGCCCAGGGAGGTGGTTGAGTCTCCATCCGTCAAGGTATTTAAAAGACATGTAGACATGGCACTTAGGGACATGGTTTAGTGATGGACTTACAATGGTAGATTTAGGGTTGGACTTGATCTTAAAGGCCTTTTCCAACCTAAATGATTCTATGATTTCCTCTCAGATAAAGCCTTCCAATATGTTTTCATAACCTCCCAATCAAAGGCTTTTAAAACATTTGAATCCGGTGATTGTCATTGCTGAAAGAGAAGGAATACCAGCTGGTAGCTTTCTAGAGGCCTAGGCCTGCCGCTCTCATGAATTTTTGAAAATTGATGCTCATGCTTTGTTTAACCATCAAATGACTGTATATAGCGTTGCTGATCTTCCCTAATTTCTGTGAAGAGCTTTCTAATCCTTATGCAGAAAAGACAGGCAATTATAGGTGTTAGAGGTACCACTGTGCAGCTGAGCATCATCACACTGTATTTTTGCCTCCTGCACTCACTAGCAAGATGAGCAAACCCAAAATTGCACAGAGAAGGAGGTGTCTAACAAGACATGTGAAACATTACGAAGCCTGTCACTGCATTCATGATAACCCAGCTGAGATATCGCGTACTAGCCTGTCACTTGCTACTTTGCTACTTGATTTCTTTTCTGTGTTGCTTCTCTTATGCAAAGTAGGTCAATTCCCTTGTACAGACAACTGCCAGGTGACCTTTGTGAATCTCAAGTGCGATTCCTCCAAGAAAAAACGCCGAGGCCGCAAGTCACCATCAAAAGAAGTATCCCATATCACTGCAGAGTTTGAAGTGGAGATGAAGTCAGAAGAAGTCTCAGGTTTGTGAAAGATCTGTCTGTGGAGAGAAACCAGAATTCAGTTCCTCAGTGTGTTGTTAGAATCTCTTTGATTTTATTTCATCAGACTGCCATGCAAACCTTTTAGCACAAGCCTCATTCAACGGCCTTTCCAAACTCAAATTTTCAGAGATTTAATTGAATGGAATTGGGTAGGAAATTAAGCCAAAGGAACAAAGATTGAACCTGCAGCAAAATTCCCTCGAAGCCTTAAGTCATGTACTTTAATTTAGTCTGATTTCTTTAAACAGCAGAAGTGCTAATTGATGCACAGAGACTGTAAGGATTAGGTAGAAGTTCTGCAACAACGATGATAAAAATATCCTCCGAAATGTAAGTTGCTGAAACTTCAGTCTGAGAATCAAACATTTTTATCACACATTTGGAAAATTCATGTTTTCATAACAAACTTCAGGAAGAAAAAGAATTGCTTCAAGTTATTCATGAGATGGAATATTATGCTATAAAATCCAGCCAAAGAAAACGTGGGCTGAATTCTATAAACACATCAGTCCTCAAAGGCAGGTTTCTCAACCCTGAGGGGTGCCTCACTAGCCAGTAATCACGCCATAAAACACCTTTCTTTGTGTCACCCAGGTATTTTGGTCAGGGAAGTGGGAGTAATTCCTAATCAGCTGGGTAAAGCACAGGCAGAGAAAATTCAGAAACATTAGTGGTGGTAGATTGAACACATATCTGGAAGTACAATGCAGTGGTATTGATGCTTTCTGCAGCCCTCTCCCAGCTCACTCAGTATAACCAGATTTCTTAATGCTATAGATAAGATATCAGCACTCAGTGTGCACTTATAGGTCACGAAACTCAGTTTGATGGACCATGGTGTACTACCTTGTTGCTTTAAAAGGCCTGATTTTGAATACAGTGAGCTGCTTCTACAATTTATATGGAGAAGACAGTGGAGCAAACAGAGGTGTCATAGTGCGATGCAGGCTAAGTTTCTTGTTAAGCACCTCTTTCTAAACATGAATCTCAATTGCTTCTAGTTTTGTTATCATTTCCCATCTAGACACCTGTAACATTGACTGTGTTCGGAAAAGGATGGAGCAGAAGCTGCAAACTGCAATCAAAACATTGAGGAAATCTATTAATAAACAGCAATTTTACATTCAGTTTTCTGGGACAGAATATGAAGTGGCTCAGAAGCCAGCTAAAGCTACTGAAGGGCATGAAGCTTGCAGTACAGGGCAAGTGCTGCAGGATGGAAAATGTGGTAAGTCCTAACATTCTATTCAGCCATATCCCGCAAAACAAGCAATCCAAAATTAACTTGTCCCTAGTGAGACAGGCAGGAAATCTGTGAGATAACAGACAATTTAGATCGATATTACTCAGCATATGTGCATGGACCACTGACAGTTCATAAGACTTGGAAGGGAGTTCATTAAATGATTGCAGGAAAACAAAGGAAACATATAAATGCATACATTCCCATGCTGTCAGCTGGTATGTATCAAGACCTGCCACAAGGGATTGTTGGCAGTTAGTTTCCAGCTGCTCCCAGCATCTTATGAAAACATAATTACAATTCTGTAAAACAATAATATGGTGTTTGCCTAGATGCCGTATATTTAATTTTATATTACCTCTCTCACTCTCCTCACCACCAAATCATCCATGACCCATGCCTGTATTTATACTTAACACTCAAGAGGTCCAATAAGAAAAAGAATCTATAGAAATCTATTTTAATTTTATGTAAAATACCTAATATTTTTAAGGCTTTTCCCAGGTTATCAGACTCTAGTGCTTTACATGGGGGGTAAGGGGCTAGCGCATGCCTGTTAATGACAGTTCTCAGCACTGCAAGCTTTCTAATCACTTAAAGTCATCTTTTCAAAATCAGCCTATCTTTTTCCCAGCTTCTTTTAGATACCGAGTGATTTACAAGCAAAAAGAAATAGTTAAGTGCAGCTTTGATAGGTGCCTCTAATGAGGCTGTTTCCATCATACTGGAACAGTGATTTAGAAACTATACTGGAAGACTGTGGCTATCAATGTCTAGAAACCCATACATTTTAACTACCTATATCCAGCAGAGAAAAATGTTTAATGCGGTTATGTGCCCTGTTGCAGCAAGAAAAGCATTTGTATTCATATCTGTATTTGAAATGCTTTCCAGTTGGGATTGTTGAGTGTCAAGAGACATAAAATATTACATAGAATACATTGCCCTCAGAGAAATCTCTAGAAGTGATATCAGGAGACAGAGTTATTGTAATCATCTGCCACAAACCAACATGTAAATGCACCTAATGTAAACTAAAAATTCACATCACTTCCCATACCTTATGCACCACTGTTTTAATTAAACTGGAATATACTGTTTTAAGACTGCATCAGCTTTATTAACAACATATGACTGATAAGCACTTCAGTGCAGTACAGTGTCATTGAATAGCTTAAACAATAGAAGGACCTTGCCCTGAGGTAAATTAACCTAGACCCCAGCGGAGATGGGCCTCTTTACATTAGGTGAGGATCCTGGACTAACATCTGCCACTATAATACTGGGGCCAGAGAGATCCATCTTCTCTAAATGTATGATACAAAGGCAAATGTGATCAAAATGAAAGTCCTTATGTAGATTCCCCTTTTCTTTTCTCAGTTACCTGCAGCACGGGCACCTTTTATAGCGGAGAACATAATCAGTGCGTTCCTTGCTCACCAGGAACATACCAAGACACAGAAGGTCAGCTTACCTGTGAGCCTTGCCCAAGTAACGATGGACAGGGAGTAGCAGGCGCCCGGAATGTGTCAGAATGTGGAGGCAAGTTTAATTTGATGATAAAATGATTAGGTGTTACCACACAGCCTGTAAGGCATGGAGGCTAAAAGAGGGGAGAGCATTCCACACTTCTGTCTTGTAAAGGTAACAGAAGAAATCTCTGTGCACTTACAAGCAATACACAGAAATGTTTTGGCTTGCTCCATCTACTCACATTGCCAACAAGAAGATGGGACCTGCTGCAGCAATGTGAGTTATGGTACAGAAATGAGCAAGCCAAGCAAAGCACTCTGCTTCAAGTCAGGTGTGGAATCTGGACATACTTCGACTTGCAAGGACTCGTCAGGTATATTGTGAGCCAAAGGGATGAATTACTTTGGGCTGGTATTGGTGAGTCTAATGAACCTGCTGATCTAATGTTTTGCATGAGATGCAGTTTACCTGGTCTAATCAGCACCAATCATAATTTTGAGATAGTTATGCTGCAGGGGTCTGTAACCTGGGCTCGGAGCTAATGACTGCAAGTTTCAATGCTGCTTGAATTCACTGCAGCTTTTGGCAAGTGATGTAGCATCTCTGACTCAACTTTATGATACGTAAATTAGATAATAATAATGATAAGACCTGGTTTCAGAAGAGATCTGTGCTTCTACTGCAACTTGATCAAGATAAGGATTTAAGACACAACTGTTATTTTCTTTATTTCATTATAGTTAAGCAAAATCTAGTCTATAGCAGATACATTATTTGACTTTGAAAGAAATCTGTCATATCTGCTACACAAGTTGTAACTTTAAAAGTCATCCACAGAATTCACATTCATGCTTTCTTCAGGGATACCTAGAGTGATCACACAATGAATGTCATTTGAGAAACTGCCACTTTTCCCCATCCACTGAATAAAAAAATAACTCTAGTGTCTCCAGTCCAAACTGGTAGATTTTGCTAATTTACTGTATGAAGCAACTATCACAGGGAAATTCTCAAAATGCTTGTACATCTTTGTTATATTCATTTGCATTTATCCAAAATTCAAAAAGAATAGATTATCAAAATAAAATCTGAGTTTATAAAGGTTGACTATAGCATACTGACCAAAGTAGCACAATGACTAGAGGAAAAAGACTGTTTTGTTTCAAGACTTGAATTTGAATTATTGTTCTGCACTACAACAAAAAGAAGCTCTTATGATTATTTTTGCAGAGTGGGTCTGTCTCAAAATGTTTGTCATCAGATCACAACAGTCTGTTTTTCTGCTTAACTCGCCCCTTTTCTCTTTCTGTGAAAGTGGCAAGAGAGAATATGTTTTGGACTTCATAAACCTCCCTGTCAAAGACTTCATCAAAATCAGCACATCTCCATAAAATGTGTCAGCATATGTGATGAAACAGTGTATTTTGATGAACACTGATTTTGTTAGAAATGTACTCACCACCTGTAATCAACAGTATTTTTGCATCATATCTTCAGGAGCAGTAATGCGTGTGTAGTAACAAATAAGCTATATCCGAAATCTTCACCCCTACAGGTGAAGCACATACAAGTATGTAAGAGATTTAAAGTTCCTGTTGCATAGAACTCTGTTGTAGCTACAAGTGAACAACGTGCTGTGATACTTAATTTACATGCAATTCATGTAGGTACAAGGCCAAAATGCAATTAGAAAACCTAGTCATTTGGGGCACTTTTTAGGGAAATCACCTGAGATCTATTTTGTTGGCAATTTCAATACAGAAAGCAAGAAGAGAGCAAGTTGCTCAGTGTTACGTACAGGCAAGGACTGAGACATATTAGTGCTGAAAACGTCGGGTATTTAGCAGTATTAAAACCCAACTGCACCACTTCATTAAAAGGATGTGTGTAACCTACACTTCACAAGTACTTAATTTTCACACTAAAATCCAGATCCAAATCCACTCTTCATTAACTGCCTTCATGTTAAAGTCCAGTACCAGTTGGACTAGACCAGATGGATCAGTTTTCCTACAAAATCAATAGCAGAATTGTCTTCAAATTAGTAATATCAGTATTTCTGAGGGCTGTGTCACAACAGCCAGCTTGTACAGTCATGTTCCAGCCAACTGGGATGGAAGCACAACTAAATCCCAAAGATCCTGGTCCCACAGGTGTCCATCTGAGTTTGAGTTTCATGGGGACAGAACCCGAACATTGCTTTTGCTCAGGAGTTCTAGTTCATCCTAAGTGCCAAGTACCCAAGATACTGGATGCCTCCCAACATTTCCCAGGAAGTATCAAGGTTCTTAAAAGACCCCAACCCCATCTAGGGCAGTCAAAACTTTCAGGTTTTCAAGCCAGTTGTTTCTGCCTGCTGTTCAGTTCTCAGGGAAGCTAAATTACAGTAATTAAAATATTGGGATTAGGCAACCAGAGGGAACACTTAACATCTCAAAGTTCTGGTCTCGCAGGCTGGGGTAGTGTGAAGATATGCATTAATGCCATAATCTGGAAAAACTTGACATCCTGTTTCTCAGGCAGGTTGTCAAGGATTAAAGTACTCAAGCTAGCAAAAACCAAGCCAAGCAAACGCCTATCAGAAATTGCCTGGAGAGCCAGTTTGGAAACTACCTTGTATCTGTCAGTAGACTCATTCACGAAGTGCTTTGCTTTACACAAATTACCATTTTCTGGCGGAAGAGTTTCTGACAAGCCCTAGTTTTCACAGCTACCTGGAAAGCTGCTGGTGTCAGCTATTCTCACAGACAGGGTGCTGGACTGGTCCCATCCAGTCTGGTAAATCCCATGATCTGTTTCCATATGTATAAAATGGAGATATGAAAAAACAATTACTTGCTTCATAGATGTGGTGCAAAGTTTAATTTGTTCCTACAGAGTGCTTTGAAATTCTCAGATGAAGGACTTGGTGAAAGTACAAAGTATTCTAACAGTATCTTAATAGAGCCCTTGCTAAAAACAAATAAACAAACAAGCAAACAAAAAACATAGGTAGCAAAGAGCTTATTAAGAAACTAGTTGTATTTACTGGTGGTGTTTTCAGGAAGTGGTTACAGGAACAATACAAAATCAGCAGGTAGGATTAGAATTTGATCTGCAGCTGTCTTAGTGTCACGTGCTTAAGTTAAAGGAAGCATTGCTAACTACTAGTGGGTTAATTTATACTTTGTCCAAAGAAGTCAGCTTACTAATATAGATGATCATTTTCAATTTCTAGGGCAGTGTTCTCCTGGGCACTATTCTTCAGATGGTTTTAAACCTTGTAGAGTCTGTCCTCTTGGTACGTACCAGCCTGAACCAGGAAGGACCCTCTGCTTTCCATGTGGCGGTGGGCTTGTGACCAAGTATGAAGGTGCTGTTTCCTTTCAAGACTGCGAAACCAAAGGTGCATTTCAAATTTTTCCACAATTCATATTCCTGCTGCTTGCCCTTTTGTTTGTAAGCTTCAGTGCCAAGGGGCTTCGAAAGGCTCCAAAACAAACACAGTCACTGCATATTGAAACATGGTGTGTGACTAAATTAAATGGTCAGGAAATCTGTAAACTAGGAATGATTTCCCACGATTGCGGAGACTGAACAGGCTTTATGGTTTTCTTTGGAATTTACCACGGGCAGGTACAGCGTCAGTGCTTCAACTGGTAAGTGAATCAGTCCCACTGCATGGCAAGAAATAAAACAAACTTGCATTAGGCAATGCTTTGGCCTTCCTGTCCTGTATATTTTTATTTACCAAATTAGAAAAACTAAACACTACAGAAATTATATAAAGTTAAGGATTGATTATTAATGAGATAGGCAGAAACTGTAAGCGTGCAACATGTTGCGTGTTACATTAATGTTAACTTCCAGGGCAAATGCTGAAGAGGAATCTGCCCAAATGCATTTTGCTCTAGTTACCATAGTGATGTGTTGGCCCTGGCAAACAGACACTAATGGAAACCTCTCTCCTGCTGTTGTGAAAGGCATTTTTAGTGTTGAGGCAGATATATGTATCAGCTTCCATTTATTACAAACTCATTGGGAGCCACTATATTAAATACAGTGAGAGACACGTGTGGCACCTTTTACTAGTTCATAAGGGTTTAGCTCTAGTCTTTGGAACATAATCCTAGGTAGAAGGTCCTTTGAAATGGGAAATACAGGGAGCTGGTGTATTTTTTGCCTTTTATGGCCTAGTAAGTATGTTGCCAAAGGGGGATCATGAGGTATGTCCAGGATAGAGGAAAGTTCCCTCTGCACTGAAGATTGCTACTTTGTGAAAATAATGCACCTCATACCTTACAGTTCATTGTTCTCCTGGACACTACTACAACTCCACAACACACAGATGTATCCGATGCCCTGTGGGAACATACCAGCCTGAGTTTGGTCAAAACTACTGCATCACCTGCCCTGGGAACACAAGTACAGACTTTGATGGCTCCACTAATGTTACACACTGCAAAAGTAAGTTGCATTTATATTAGCTGTGAGAGGAAGCATATCTTTAGATTTGAACTGCAACTTGAAGGTTCCATCTGTCAGGCTGGACTTCAGCTCTGTATTTCCTAGTTAGCATATATCTACTGCCAGATGGAATAGTAAAAGTTGGGAAAACAATGAGAAAAAAACATAGAAACGTACCACTTGATGCATATGATTGTTTTGTCATTAATGTAATTTCGCAGAATGCCAGCTACAGGTTAAAACTGCCAAGCTGTTGGTTTCCCAGACCCTGTAAGTTGTCTTGCAGTGATGCGTATTCATCCATGTCGCTGTAGAGCACAGTATCTTCTATCAGAGTAGCTGGCATTTTATAATAATTATAAAATACTAGGAGAGATGGTCACACATACTGCAATTGCCAGGTAATCGCTCATGACAGTGAAATCTTCTCATAGGCTTTTTTGCAGTACTCAGCCTCTTATCTTCAATTACCATTTTAAATATCCCTAAGGAATCCAGTGCAATTTTATTTGTTCTTTTGTGAATGACTAATTCTTTTAGGCAAGCAATTTTTTTCATCTCTACCATGCTAATTTAAGAGAACATCTTTATAATTAAGTAATGTCATCTAAACTAACTATTCATGTGCAAGTCTGTCGTAAATTTTTATCCTGATGATGTGTCATGTGTCTTTGAAACCCATCATCATTCTAACGTAATTTGAGTAAATTAGATATTTGTAAGGAATTTTAAGAAGTTTTATGATTTTCCTATAAAATAAAACTATCCTTGTCACTTTGCTGTTTTAGATACTCCCTGTTCTCAAGCCAGTTTCTGACCTTGTATAGTCTTTGAGGCTTGGATTAAGCAAAATATTTAAACATATGTCTAGTTTTATGTGGGTGAGCGGGCCAGGAGAGATCGAGCTTAAGTAACTTACTGAATCAGGCTTCTGTGGCATATTCAGTAGGAGTTTTGAAAACTCAGAAAGTAAAATTGATCCATCAATGGTGATTCTTTATTAACTGGTTTAATCTCAGATAAAGCAAGGGGGATCTGTAATCCGGATACGGTTGGTTATTAGAATCATCACTCTCATTGGCTAAATCAGGTTAAAAACCAGGTGAAGTTAAACCAGAATACCTTCTGCATGTCAGCATGATCTCAGCAGTAACCACTGTGTGAGTACCTCCACAATGGGCTCACGTTTACTTACCTGTGTTCGTTTCTTAATCATATGTTAAAGCAGCCTGAATGAAGTGTTGAATCAGTTTATACACCGGAGATTGAGGTTTTGCAAATCAGTTGGCACAGCCCTGCAGATCAAGTATTCCTGTAAAGGCTTTCCGTGCTAAACAAAGAAGCAGCTGGAGAATGTATGCGTTTCTAAGGCCACATAGAGGAGTTTAGACTTGCTTAACAGATCTAGAAAAACACCTCAGATTATCTAATCAGCTAACACAAATGGTAAATTATGCTTCTCCACAGACCAGCACTGTGGAGGAGAACTTGGGGATTATACTGGCTACATTGAATCACCCAACTATCCTGGAGACTACCCAGCTAATGTTGAATGCATTTGGAATATAAATCCACCCCCAAAGAGGAGAATACTCATCGTCGTACCTGAGATATTTCTCCCAATTGAAGATGAATGTGGTGATGTTTTAGTCATGAGAAAAAGTGGTAAGTTGCCAGCCATGGGTTATATAAATATTTATTGCAAACTGAGTGGAAAGCTCATATTGAAGGGACAACTGTCTTCATCTATCCAATGCTTCTAAAAGGATTGTCGAATGAACTGGCACAGCAAGTTAAAACAGAACACTGTACCAATAACAATTAACAGAGTGATATTAATTATTCAGGTGTCTTGGATGAATCACAAAAGCAGTTAATGGGCTTCTGTCTAGCCCAGTTACCACGTGGAATAAATCACTGCCCGTCTAGAAGTCAACAAAGCTGTGCTAAGTTATTCTGGGAGAGCTATCTCCTGTCATCTGTACAAACCGTGCTCTCACTTATCCTTTTCAAGGATATATACACTGCAGTTACTGCTAGATCTGAGCAGTGACACAGGTTGGTACATCTGACACCCTTAAGAAATCCAAAGTTTTCCCAACTCCTTCAGTCCTATGTGGGCATCCAGCTTCTGGTGATCTGTTGCTAAATCTCCAAGAAGCACCAAACCTGAAAGACGATTGTTTAGATGGAACTTTGTTTAAAACAGCATATTGATATTTTACTTGTTAAACCAGTGTATTTTATTTGCTAAAACAATTTTCACAACTTTTTATCCTTGAGGGCTTGTGTTGACATCTCTGTATATCAGAAGAAGAAACCTGCTCACTAGATGGAAGGAAATTATATCCAGATCACTTTTTTTTTAAAAGCCAAACACTTACTGTAGCAGAACAAATCAGTCATCCTTCTAATCTCAAACTGTCATTCCAACAGCGAGTAAAGCCAGGCACATCAGCACCACTAACAGTACCAAAACAACACCACTGCTGGAAAATGAGGGCAGTTTTTTACAGTCATGATTTGTGATCACTGTATGTTTGGCATCATAAGAGTAGATCTTCCAAATATTTATCATAGGTCATGCAAGGTCAGCTGCTAATGTTACTGTGGAAGAATTGATATCAGTTACAATTAAATCCATTTTTTTGCACTTCAAGAATCCAAATCCCATTCAGTTCAAAAGGTCTCTTTTTGCTAACATTGATGAAAGTTGAATCAGCCCTAGCAAGCTCAGATTTTAAGTTACACTTGTTATTTTTCTTAATTATCCTGTGGCTATGGAGTGGGTTTTCTGAACTAGCTAAGAAGATATTTTTTCCTTTTTTTTGAAATTAATTTCAACTTAGAGGAGCCTCATGATGCATTCATAATGATTTCAAGACATCCTGTACCCTCCATCTGTTACTTATGTTAGGGGCAAATGGGGGTCTTTCTGGTTCCCAGCTATTAGCTCTGTTTCAGTATAGATAAATGACATTTTCTTTTCAAACCTACAACTAGGTATTTTGCACTGGGAGGTGCTGGTCCATTATGACCCCAGTAAGAAAGGCACTGAGAGTCTGTAAGGTATCATATTAAATGCTATTTCTTAGAGCTATCATTATGAGGAGAGAATAGTATAGGTAATCATACCTCCCTTCAGATGATGGGAACCACAGGTATCAAATGGCTTCTGATCCACACGCAGCACGATGGACAGACCTTGTCCATAGAAGAGCTTTTGCCCTTTCAGTCATTTGAGCTATTGTAGGATTTTCTTACAAGGAAACAACTCTGTTTATCATTTCCACCGTTGAACAGAAACAGTGTTCTCAAGAGAACTTCTTGCTGCACTTTGAGTCAAAGGCAAGACCACGCAGTACCATGATCACTGGTACCACGTGGGAGCTGCCTGCGGGTCCCTCTCGCTACGGCGAGCGGGCTGAGTTTATCCTCAGCCACGGGGTTTGTGCAGCACAACGCAGGCCTGGAGGCCGCCGAGCCGTACCCAGGGTAACTGCTGTGGGGATCACTAACGCCTCAGTGTGCAACGGCCTTTTGGTCAGGATCGCTATGCCAGGCCATTGCCTCCTGGTAAGTGGTTTGTTGCTCTCAGATGAACTCCCCAAACTGGCATGTAAGGAGCTGGTTACCACATCTGCCCGAGGTGCCGCTGACTCATTCTTACCTCCCGGGGCCCAGCATATGGGAACCCTGGAATTCAGTGCTAGAGTAGTACACAAAACAGGTAATATTGATAGTAATTTTATGAATGTCAAAAATGATCTCTGGCACCTACCTCACTGTCTACTTAAGCTTCTTGCTGTGGGACAGAGGGGTTCCCATTACCTTTCTGAAAAAATTTACTTCTCCTTATAGACATATAAAAGACTACATCCCTTCTATCACAAAAAACTTCTCTTGGGAATACGTCAGCTGAGAAGTGTCATGACATTTCTGAGCTGTAGATGAGGAAGGGTGCAGAAGTTTATTTTTTAAAGAACTTTTCTTTATTTAACCTTCTAGCTTCTCCTACTTCAATTACTACGTATGAAACATGTCAGACTTACGAGAGACCTATTGCATTTACCTCAAGATCAAGGAAGCTCTGGATTCAGTTCAAGTCTAATGAAGGAAACAGCGGCAAAGGATTTCAGGTCCCCTATGTGACTTACGATGGTGAGAATGGGATTGTTTTCCATCTTTGTGTTACATCTGAATTATAGAAAATTGTTGTCAGAGTCTCTCTTGCAGTGATTACAGGGAGAGAAGAATGAGGAAAAACTTGATGTAACTAATTTTTAGTCAAGTGAACTACTTTAAAACCAGTTGCAAAGACTTTGAAATAATACTCAATTTTATTCTTATTACTTTTTCTAATACTTCAAGGATGGACAGCAAATTATACAAAATTCTTTAAACTTAATCCTTATTCCACTGAATTCAACCAGACTACTTTTAATTAGCATTTATCATATGCATAATGAGAATACCATTAATTGCTGTGCGTTTTAGGAAGCCCCTTCATCAAGTCCAACTGGTAACCCACACAATTTTGAAAATTATGCATTGAAAAAAATCACAAGTCCAACAGAGAAAAACAGTGATGCAAAAAGGAATATCCTTTCAGTAACCACTTTCATAAATCCACATTTTAAAATAGTCTGTCTTATCATATAAACGATGCATTACACTGTATCTTTTGGACTTTGGGATGATTTCTGTTTTAATGAAACAAAGACTTTGCTTTGATGCTTTTGGCAGCTGTTAGTCCATCTCTTCCAAACACCAGAGCGATTTTGGGGATGACAAGAAAATCTGTATTAAGCTGGTAATTCAGGAATCAAAATGAGAGCTGTTCCCAGGGCAGAAAATTAGGATCTGTTCCTGACTGTGCTGCTGACTTCACATATAACCTTTGACAGTGATTTCATATCCCTGACCCTGTTTCTTCATCTCCAGAATGCAGACAATAAAGCATTATTATCTGGAGGGAATAGTTTTCTGGGGCTAAGTTAGTATTTACATGGATAATTCAAATTTATTGTTCTAAAGCAGTACAGAATATTGATGTGATTAGATTGGAATACACCAGCTTGAGAGACACTGAATAATTAACTGGATACTAAATTTCTCAGCTCTGTCTTGAAGAGGAGGTCTAGCTAATATCTGGCTGTTACCCTCCCAAATGATGTCACAAATAGTCACTCGACTGATCTTTATTTTTCAGAGGATTATCAACAGCTAATAGAAGACATTGTTCGAGATGGACGACTATATGCATCAGAAAATCATCAAGAAATTCTAAAGGTAAGAAAATTCTGCTTTATCTGAGTCTAACCAAGAATTCTTTTACTAAATATTTTCCCAAGATAGTTTTCATTACCCTGATAAGGTCATAGTATTTAAACCTCAAGTGTGACTCCAAATTAACTTCTCTGTCTTCTGAGGTTTATGCTGGTATTTGGAGCTGCACCAAATCAGTAGCTCAGCTGGGCTGAGCACGTGCATATGTCCTTTGCTGAATCAGGAACTAAATGAAAAGTATGCTAACATGATTGTATGTTAGAAAAATAAGTCACCCAAGAATGAAGAACCTATTGTTTGAAGAGCCTTCCTCAGCCTCAGTCTGGCATGTGTTTAAATGAGTCATTAAGTTAGAATTTCTTGTGCATTAAAAAATGTATTTACATAAATCACTGTCCTGCCTCAACAAGACATAACCATAATGGAGCATTGTAAGCTGTCCATGAAATAGTTTTCCAGAGGCACAAGCAACACATTGGAGAGAATTGTGGAGGAAGGCTGCTGGGCTGCCACCTATAACAACTAATTAAAACTGAAAAAAGGCTGTTCAGAAGGCAAAATGCAGCCAGGTAAATGTGTGGCTTGGAAGGGCAGGAACTGATTAACAGCCAGGTCCCCTGGCTAGCCCTGCACCAGCCCTGCCAGTGTTCTCTCCCTCGAGCCTCAAGGATGCTCAGGTCTCAGCTGCAGTGCATATGGTGAGGCACAGGATCAGCTGAGGCTTTGAACCAAGACTTTATCAAGGTACAGGGGAAAGTCCTTAAAGAGCTCAGTGTCACTGAAGATCAGCCTTCTCTCTTGTTCGTGGAGGGAAGGCCCAGGACAACAGCATGAAACAGACTGAAAGGGCAGTCTGCAGTTCTAATATCTAACTTCTGTAGCTGGTTTGTGGTTAACTCAGCTGCTACCCTCTCGGTTCAGGACATCCCAGGAACGCTAATTGCAAAAAAAACGTCCGGCACAGTAGAAAGGTTGATCAGTATAAAACTTCCCAGCAACATGGAGTAGTTCCTGTACACTGCTTTACCCAGAATCAAGTTTTGCAAAGAAAAAAAAAAAAAAACAAAACCAAAAACCTGATTGTTGTTCATTAATTTTTTAAGCTGTGCAGACACTAAATCTAAACTCTATTTTTATCTAATATATATATTGTCTCCCATAGGACAAGAAACTGATTAAAGCTCTCTTTGATGTACTGGCACACCCACAAAATTATTTCAAGTACACAGCACAAGAGTCAAAAGAGATGTTTCCAAGATCATTTATAAAGCTACTGCGATCAAAAGTTTCCAGATTTCTACGACCATACAAATAGTCTATTGGTATTCAATTTTCAGTTACTTTGAATTCCTGTCAAATATTGTCTTTCCTCCATAGTAGAAACATTTGCTAATTTGAAGTCTCTTTTTTGCAGACTTTGTTTTCAGTTGTATATTGAAGAATACCTATAATGTTTTATAATCGTTAAAGCCAATGTTCTGAATGGGATTTTTACTACAAAAAAAATGTGCACCCCTGAGTGCATCTAGCTGAAGATTCAAATTTGTGTCTGCACTAGTGTATCTTCACTTTCCATCTGAAATTACATTATGTAGAAAATATTCTTTTTAGCTTTATATTTTTCATGAACAATAACTTTCGTCAAAGCAAAGAAGGAATCTATTCAAATCTGATTAAACTACCTGCAGATGACAAGTTCTGTTGTAGAAAGAAGTATGTAGTATAAATAATATTTGGATTTTGAATTGCACTTGAAGTTTATATTTGAATCTTTAGAAGAAAACAAAACAATCTAAATTTTGTTATTTGTCATTTGTGGCTTAGTGGAGCCTCTGTCCAAGTAGAAATCAAAAGGGAGAAAAAGAAGAAAGAAAAAAAGAAACAGATGTATAATTTTGTTTTATGAATTACGTGAGATTGAGTCCCATGCCCTAATGTCCTAATGTTTTTATCTGTCCTCTTCTAAACTTCTTCAGAGGTTTTCCACTGTCAATTACGTCACTGAAACAGATTTAGCTCTGGATTTCCGTATTACCAGTTGGTCCCTTTGAAGGCATTTACAATAGGATAGGTGAGAAATGAACAACAACACCACTAGTAGTCTTGTTTTTCTTTCCGTTAATAAAGCATCTAATTAAGTACAATATATAAATATATAAATATATGCTTCTATTTGTGGGTACATTAGTAATGTTATCTTTAGTTACTGTAAATATTATTCATGCTTAAACCTTTACTCCCACACGTCCTATACTTATATCTATTTGTAACTTTGCTTAGATGATTAAATGACCTCTCCAAGTGCTTGCCACTTCTGCTGACACCAAACTGAAGCCTTTTGGAGTTTTAGAATACTGGATAATAGTTTGCTCTGGGACAATCTCTTTCAACGTACATTAATCCAGGAAAAATAATATCCGTTAAGATGCAACTGCTGTCCACTGAACGGTCAGTTACTGCCTCTTCCTTGGGCACCCCTCACATGCAGGCCAGCAGTTACCCCTGAGGACGACACACGTGACAGGAGCTCACCAAGGAGAAATTTTTGCAGGACCTGCCATCTCCAAAATTCTGGGAATGTACCTGTGTCACAGGCCCAGACTCTCAGCGAGGTGAGGGGATGAACGGGACGAGGTGGGAGCAGGCCCTGCAGTCTTCAGAGACCTGGCGCTCCCTTTGTCACGAATTTGCAACCGCAGTGCCCATCAGCCGTGGGGGCTGGGTGGTCTGCAAGGGGGTGTTAGCCGCCAGTCAGGCCTTCCTCACAGAGTGGCAGGTACTGGTGGGTTAAGATGATGATAAATCTTGTGTTTCCTGCTGTTCTGTGGCACAGGAGCCAATTTCACTGAGATAGTAGCTTTTTTTTTGTTTTTTAGTATTTCAGCCTCTTAAGTCCCTTCCTCTTGTATATCATGTTACCTTTTGATCCTACAAGTTTATTACATGGAGACATTAACTATCACAGCAGTGTCCTTTCAGAAAAAGACTAACATACAGTTTTGCTTCACTACATTTTTTTGCATATCTACCCTGTAGTTTAACATACCCTTGAATGCTCTCAAAGACATACATTAACGGTGATTATGGTTAACTTCTTATACTTTTGTTTGTCTTTGAGCAAGTACTGTTTAAATTTACAGAGTTGGATTCTGTTGGCTGCAAGTGGTTGAATATTCCATTTCTAAGAGACACCTTAAGTATTATGTTGAGTTTTTCTACTTAGTCATCTTGTCACTTTGCTTGCCTTCTTTCCTTTTATGTTGAAGAGTATCATTTTTTCTTTCTACACCTGAACAGTTTCAACGTAGGGTCTAAGAATTCATTTTTTTCACTCATGGATCTTAGGTGTTTGGTGAGCTTTCTCTTTAATATATATATATTTATATATTAACCCTCATTTCAAAACGTAACATCTCTATAAAAGTCCTTTTTTAAAGGCTGCTAAACCTAACTTTCTGTGAGGATGTTGAAACTACTTTTATTAAATATTCATCATGGGTTACTAAAGGTGGATATTTGAAGGAGAACATCTCATCAGTCCTAGATTCAGTGCATGCCTGATACAAAAAATAAAGTTACATTTTTTTTTTTCCCTTAACATGAGTTATTTGTAGAAAAAAATTATATCTTAAAAAAGAAAGAGTCTTTTTAGGTACTCAATTATGTATAAGCGTATAGCTAAAAAACTACTTCAGCCAAAACGTATTTCAAAGTCTCATAGCTTATTCAGAATTAATAGAATAGGTCAGGATTGCAGCCATTCTACTGAAAGGTATGAAGGAAAGGATATGAAAGATATGGAGAAAAACAACTTCCTCATCTGCTGAGCCATTTACAGTGATCTTTAGTATTTCAAACTTCAGTAAGCAAACTTTGGAACCTGATGCTGTGCACTGAGTTTAGTAAAATCCTTGTCAAAAGTTTTGCTCAATAGCCCAGACATTTGGACACAATACCACAGCACAACACTGGTGCCAAGTGGGACAAACTTCCTCTCCGGAACAGGGCTGAAAGTAATTGCCTTACGAGTCCAGAAACCACTGGCAGCACCGTAACATTTTCCAGGCTCTTAGTGACGTGGGGAATCCAGTGCCAGGTAGTGACTACAAGAGGGACGTGTCCCAGTTGTGGCCACTGTTAGTGGGGCCTCGGTAGAGCCGAGGGGGGTGAATGCAGGAGGGCCTGGCTGCACTTCGCTCCAGTACCACTCTCGCCCTCACTTACAACCATGTTGGGGCACGGGCTCCACAGGCAGGACAAGGCGCTCGGGGACATCTGTAGCAAACGCAGACTTTGTGTTGCTGAAAGCAGTGAAAGAAAGAGAATAATTTGGCCTTCAAAAGTATACAGTAAAATGCTTCTGAAAATATAGGGGTTTCATATGTGATATATTTAGACAATGAGTCAGGTTTTCATGTTTGCAGCTCTGCATAGAAAGGCCCTCGGATGTGCAAATTTCTAATGAAATAAGTAATGACAAGTGGTGTGTAGGACTGCCTGAACCAATTTCAGCTGACTTGCACAACAGCACAGATTTTTTACATCAGCTCTAAAAGTTAAAAATGCTTTGACACATACTAGATTTACAGTTACAGAAACTGGCAGCCACCAAATAGAAGGTGAGTTCAGCTCTTCGTTTGTTAATGTAGGTGTAGGGTATCTTCCTTGTCAGAAGTCAGAAAGCATATTGCTACTATACAGTAACAGTACAACAACAAGGAATGTCATCTTCTATGGAGAAGACCTAGACACATTTGGAATCAAAAACCATGCAAGGAGAAATATGGCCACCTTTAAGAAAACCAGCTTCACAAAATGAATCAATATATCACAGAATATAAAGTTTTGGCTTTTACCTTAAACATTAAATATTACATTTAAACATATTCAATAAATACAGCCCTGTGTCCAGAATTACCGGTTGTATGCAGGATAGGTGTAACAACATGTTTGTGTTATTACAGGAAGGCTGAAGAAGTGTCCATTTGTGATTGCCCAATTTCACTTTACAAACTGATCTGTTTATTTTCAATTTGCCAGTGCCTGTATGCTTAAAAGCTGCACCTGTAGCACTTACCATTTCAAGCCTCTCCTCCTGCCTTAAACGCTGCACTTATTATTGGTGAGGTGGTGGTGAATCATCCCTAAACATTCTCATGTGCCACCAAATCACCGCCCGCATACCTGCTGCAGTCCAGGGGACTGCAACACTCAGAGGTTGCTAATCAAGCCCTAAGCCGAGCGGTGAGAGCGCTGGGTGGTGGTTGCTGAGGGCTGGGTGCCCGTGTGTGTCACCTGAGTACAGGAGGCATCCGGCCGCGGTGTGCAATAGATCGCCGCCTGCACCTCGCCTGCAATAGCAAGATCTATTCTGCCTGAAGATTTCGCTCATCGAAACTGGATTTAAAGCCGCTGAAGTCTTCTTTCAGCCCATTTTCTCGCCCTGCCTCCCTTCCTCCATCATACATTAGATTTTTACCTAAAGACCAACTTTTCAAAAGAAATTTGTTTCCTCATTGTGCCTCCCCCATCGAATAAAGTTAAAGCACAGTGTGTTATAACTACTAAAGATTTAGACTGATCTTTCCTACGCATCAGCTTCATAGTAGGGTAAGCTTACCTAAAAGTAAGTAAGCTTACTTAAAACTAGCTTACCTAGTAAGCTAGGTTTAGTTTAGTTTAGTTTTAGACTAGCCTAAATAAGTGCAGGCTTGGTCACAGAGTTTTCAGAGTCTGCATTCTGAGTTGTCAGGGGGTTTTGAAAGAGCACAGCTCACCCGTAGTCCTCACTGTGAGCAGAACACAGCGGCGATGCCACTGGAACAAGAAACATGCTTACATGCATTGAACATTGAAAGAGGAAAGTCAGCCCCCACCCCACGCCCCTTTGTAAGCGTGCCCAACAGACTCACATTCCTCAGGTCAGCCTTATCTATGATCAACCCAGTTTTAATCTTGCAGACAGCAAGTTATGAACTTCCAGAGCAAGAGCAGTGGTATGGTTCTTACACAGGAACTGCTGATGGGTCTCTGCCAGCAAAACCTAACCGCTCTGTGGCAGTTCCCATGTCTGGACTCTAAATACCTTTGAATACTCTTAAAAAATAAGCTGGAGTGAAATCTTCAACAACTGAATCCAGTGGCAAATTTCTCAGCCACCGCAGGGGTCTGGATTTTCCCTTTTCTAAGGATGAGAATGAGCAACACATGCAGTTACTTGTACCTGTGTCATGAGTTCAAGTAGTTGCTTTTTTTTCATAGTTTAAAACCACTGATTGACAGGAATGGTAGTAACTGGAGAAGTTCTATAGACTCTCAATGCTTTGAGACTTTAATGAAATAGTTTTCTAGGATGAGAGACTGTTGTAAGCACTTGGGGGAAAAAAATTACTTTTGTCTCCCGTAAGAATTTATGGAAGAAGGGAACTGTCTGTAAGGTAGTGTGAACTTATTCCTCAGTGTGAGACTTGGATTCAGCGTGAGGTCTCATGTTTCATCGTAACATTTTTCATCTGAATGGAAACAGACTGGGAAATAAACTCTTAATGTCAGAAAAATTGTTATCTAAGTATCTGAATATATACAATGCCAGTTTGTTATTTCATTTATTTATTCTGTTTCATCACTAAGCTTTTAATCTATAAAATTAATATGTAATATACAAGAGTAAAATGTACAGAAGTACCTTTAGATGTAATAATTTAAACCATCTGTTTTCAGAAAGCGGAGATAACAAATTTAAAGATATACAAACAATTGCAATTCGATTTTAGCTGAATTTCTCAATATCTAGAAAAAGAAGTGGCTTTTCTTAATTAAACTTTATTTTAATGATTGTGAAAATATCTTTTTTAGAGTTTGTTTTTGTTACTTTTTAATTAAAATTATTGTGTAAATATTGTTTTCTATGTTTGATACCTTAGAAAGGCCATTAATTTGCATTGACAGCAGCAGATACTCAGCACGATGATTAAGAAGGTACTTTAAGAGACTGGGGTGGATGTGGTCAGTAGTCAGATTCATCCTTCTAGATTACCAATCCTGTTATTTCTGCAGTCTCACTGGCATCATAGGGAGAGTTTTCTGGGGCAATTTAACCGGCTAATTTTCATAGAATTGACTATCAAGTGTCATTCTGAAGCGCTCACCATTTTCATAACATATAAATAATATGTATTTCAAAGTTAGTGCTAGTTCTTCTGTTGTTAGGATAAACAACACAAAACTCGGAAATAAAAGGGTATTCAAAAGATTATGCCCAAATATAGTATAAAGATAAGGAAAGGTATGGTGTCTCTGTGCTCCTAGGTAGCAGTGGAAGTGACAAAACCTCATATTGGATCATAGAGCCTTTTTTAGGCAAAACTGCCAGTGAGGTCAGTGGTAGTTTCACCTGCATAAAGTTCACTGTGATCACGTCCATTACCTGCTCAGCAGGAATTTCTGGTAGACTAGATTTCAGGGGAAAATACCTGGAGTGTAATATTGGTTTCTGTACCAATTTGCTCCATGTAAATCACTGGGCAAGAGTAACATTTTGAACTAAACCCTTGTAGATGCTGCTGGGTCTTCTAAGCTTTATTACCATTGTAAATTATGTACAAACAGCTATTTCCATATGAAATGTACCATGATAGGTTAGAGCAAAGATAGCGAATAACTGTACAAAATTTGATACTTAGAAAATAAAATACAGTGGTCTAAGCTTTAACAATATTTTAACAATACTGTCAGATTTGTAGTAGAAAATGTTGTTGTAAATGTATCTTATAAGAAAATGAATTTCCTTTTACCTCTGTATATTAATAGCTTTGATTTCTATGTCAAAGCTCAAAATGAAGCATGTAATAAAACTTTTGTTAAAATCACTTTCATAATAAACGTAAAATGGAATGGATACCTGGATACCCGTGCCTGCCATTTATTTGTGTGTATGGAAAAGGCTCCACGTACCAGGGTAATGTAGACAGGAATTGGAAGAGACCTTCTCCCTTTTTTATAGCATTTACATATTTCAGTCTAATATTCATCTTTAGGCAACAGAGAGCTTTTTCTTTCTCATCAAACAACTGGAGTTTGTGAGCACTGGGACACTGAGTTAAATTCCTTCCAAACAGACTTCAGGGAAACTTCAGAGCAAGAAGAAATCCTGGCTACAGCAAAGCACCACACCACCAACATCCCTCCAGGACCTTTAACCATTTCTTAAAATAACTCTGACATTACTATGTATATCTCATGCAGGTGCCCCTTCCCACACCCCTCTAACGAGAAGCAGCCTCTAAGAAAGAGGAAGGAAGCTCTCTTCCACCGGTGGCCTGATGGGCTGTTCCCACCATAAGCTGCCAAGAAGACTGGTGGCTTCCAGACTCACCTGCTGCTTGTCCTGCTGAGGACTAGGTTGAGAGGAAACCACACTTGCACCCAAAATCGTGATTTAAAGACATCAAAAATGTCCTTTCCCCCACTAGGCCTGCTGTAGAAAAAGTGTATTTGCCCAGGCCCCCCCCTTGCTGCTGAATTTTATGATGATAGCTACACTTTTGCAGTCTGAGATTACAAAGCAAGTAGAATTTGTACAATCAGTGGCCCAAGTGAAAATCCTGATACCGGTAATGTTGAAAATGGATGATGACAGACTGACAGAAAATAGACTATCTGTAGCAACATCAAAGGCTGAGTTAGGTCTGATTGAAATCATCCTTTGCAGTGCAAGAAGTGCAAGTTGTCACTCAGGGTACACAGCATGCGAGACCGAGCAAAAAGCAGGGCTGTTACTAATTCAGCTGGTAACACCTGGTGCGAGGTGTGCTGCTCAGCTGTGCCTGCCAGGGCTGAGCTCTGCCTGCGGGGCACTGCCAACACTGCGCAGGCAGGAGGCCGCCTGTACCAGCGCAGCGCGTGGCGTTCTGCTGGTATCTCGTCTAAGCAGTTCATCTTGTTAAGAGAAAGCATTTATCATACGACAGTATGCGCCGCTGACTTTATATATGTCATCAATGGGAGAACTACTACCAGCATGACTGGTGACTACTGCTGCCACTGACAGGTTTGGAAGGTACAGAGAGGCAGCTACGTTCCAATGGGCAATCAGTTGCTGCCTTTTTCAGCTAGTAGCAATCCACGTAGGCAATACCGGCAGTTATCCGCGACACACTCCAGGAAGACACAGCACAGCTTTTATCAGACTACAGATGGTGCCATGCGAGATGGCGCTCAGCTGTCTTTATAGCTTCAGAGCTTTAAAGGAGTAATAGGAAAAGTCAGCTACTCTCAAGGACAGAGAAAAGCTGCTCAAAAGTTCCTAAAGGTCACTGGAAGTCAAATTAATTACTGGTAATGAACTATCTGCACACTGGGGCAGAAGCCATTGAAGGTTCAGCGGTCGTGACAGTGTGCGTTTGAGCACAAGATTCCAGCTTACTGAAATAGGCATCGCCTGGTGGGCATCACAGAAGGGTCCATCCTCGTTTCGGATCTTTCCATGACTTCCCAACAAGCTCACAAAACATAATGGCCTGAGGAACAGCACTCTGGCACGACCCAGCAGGTAAGTGAAGGCAGACTGGGCACAGATTTATTCTTTTCTTTGTTCAGCCATCAACATTGACTGATTCCTGGTATCGGAGAAGGGGTCTGTCCCGTACAGTCATAATAAATGGCTACTTTTGCCTCTTAAAAATAACTGGGCAGTCAGTAGTGAGTCACTGGCAACACGTCTCCTAATTTTTACATAAGGTGCAAACCAGACATCATTCCCAGAGCATTTTTAGGAGACATTGCCCTGCCACGGTGCATTTTCTTTCTCCTTCTGCTGTACATACCTGTGCCTCAACTCCTGTAGCACATGAAGCTAACAAAGGGCTGCAGTCTGCTTTCTCCTGCCCCTGGGTGCATCTTGCTGCTGTTGTTGCTGCCTTGTGCCCCAACAGATTTCCTTCTATCATGCTACTGGGCAGGCAACATAAACACAGGTACACTTGCTCTAGGTAGCCACAGACCAGCTTTGCTACCACATGTTTCTATGTTTAAAACATAAAAGAAGTGCCATAAGTGCCCGTCTGTGCATTTTATCCAATATGGTACTTATTTAGGGGTAGCACTATTACCAGCCACGGCTTTTTTATGTTTATTTGAGGAGATCCCTCACTGACTAGCTCTGGAGAGCCCCATCACTGCCCGAGTCGTCACACGGGCACCAGCCCACCAGCATCCTGAGCCGCTCCAGCACCTCTGCCGTGTGCCTGCTGACGCACGGTGAGATACGCTACACTCCAGCAGCACTTCCTGACAAGTAGAATAACATCACCTCCAGCTCATTTGTACTGTGTGTACAGCAGTATTCCTACGTAACTGTCATACATCTGTAAAAGTAACCTGTTAGATGACATGCTATGTATGCCTGAAGACACGGGAAAGGGAAGAACAGGGATCTGCCTTCCTGACAGCACCCAAGCAGCTTGTGCTGAACTGCAGCTCCGGCCGTGGAGGGGCAGCAGGATGTCTCAGCACTCAGGGCAGTGTACTGGAGTGTCTACATGGATGTGACACGAGGTGAGGATCCTTGGAGCTGCCTGGCAAGCTGGGTTTTCATATTGTGCCCCCGGTATGAGGGCACAGTTCTGCGTAAGCAGCAGGAGAGCGTCTTTGAAATTAAAACACCTGCACTTGTCAGTGTGTGTTATGTCAGTGCATGATATAAATACAATAAATTAGGGGATACAATGAGTATAAGTATTGTTTGCGCCAGACAATTTGTTTGGCTTATTTCCCTTAAGACACTGATCTCTTGCCAGACTTGCAGGCCAGAGGCTGAGTCCAACCTGCTAAGATCACTCATCCACCTGCAAGCTGCCCACTGTGGCTCTTTTTCTCTAGGGCTTTTTTCAAACTCCGCACTCACATGAACACCTGTCCCAAGACCAAAACAGAGGCTTCCCTCCTCACTTGGGAACCCATCCAGCCACACACAAGGACAGTGCAGCCCCACTGTCACACGGTAGCCATGGTATGGGAAAGAGACTTCATATAAGGCCCTTGATGGACTCCAGCTGACAGGTGGGTGTGGAAAATTTAACTAAATTTGGTGCTTTTTTTTTCTCTCCTCCTTCTGTCAGTCGTTCAGCTTCTTGCCGTGGCATATGCAGAAATCTTTTCTACAGCTGTGCATGCAGCATTTGTGTGCAGCTACATGCCAGGATATCCCCGCGGTTCGAAGCTCTGAGCTGATGGCCCCCGGCTGGCCGAGCTTTACCTGTCTCATCAGTCATGCTCGCGGCCTCCCAGCCGGCTGCTGCCACTGCCTCTGCACAGGTTCCTTGCCAGGTGAGTGCGAAACACAGTCAATGGTGTTTTGGGGATTCTTGCCGTTAGAGGGATGCAGCACCTTCCCAAAACTATACCTGTCCACAAAAGCTACACACAATCACTGCTATTTTGATTCAGAAGAACACATTTTGCATTCGTATGACAGCATCTATGAGGTTTTAGGCTCACAGATACAGCTATGATAAAATATTTATAGCAAATGCCGTTCCTCTCATCTAAGTCCCCATCTTAGCTTTCGACGCAGCAAAGTTCTAGTTTTACTGTTGAGGAAGTTGTTTATCTGAAAGCAAATTGTTTCTTTGCTAACATATTACAGCATTTGTTGTAAAATGCACCAGAAATATGTCTCCTTATCTTCTTTTTATTATTATGTTAAGGGTCTCTCCTGCCCCTTACTTTCCTACCTCTCTTTGGGAGAAGGCTTCCATCACATGTTGCCAAAGAGGAAGGTTCTAACGTGAAACAACAGGAAAATTAAGTGGGGAACACACATCAGATCCATGGGGATCAGACAGCCACAAACATTTGGAATAAACCCAGAAACTGCCAGACTCAGGAAACTTTGTAGAACTCTAGTTGTATTTTCTGGGGGCAAATCCTGCTTCAAGTATGTTAACTCATGATAAACTCCCGCTACAGGTTGCTACAGGGCAGGAACTAAATGAGGTAGCGGTGGTTAAGTCGTCCAGACTGCTGTGACAGAGGCACAACAGCTGCATGCGTTGGCCCCCTACAGATAGTGCCAGAATCTCCTTATTTTAGACTGGGGTAGTGCTAGTAAGCTCAGCCTTGCTGAGAATTTTTTTGCATTCTCTGCAAATACCTATGCAAAGTAACCCATTAAACTTAACAAGAGCTTTGCCTGAGTAAGGACTGCATTGTTCAGGCACTGTAAATTAGTCACTCTTCTAAGAAAACAATCAGAATAATATACTGTGGTAACTTTTTCTTTACAAAGATTATCCACAAATACCTTCCTTCATAATGAGAGGCTGGCAGTGGTGTACCTGGGCTACAGCTCTGGCATCACAGGTGATCTATGACACAGAGTAGGAGCGATTGCTCCCGAAAGCCTCACTGTGCAGCTGGCGGCTGAAGTGGCAACAGGAGAGTGGTGAGCACTGGACTCCACTCTCTGCTCCAGGAATTACTCCTGGTGTGGAAAACCAACAAAAAAAGTGAGGTAGGCTGACAAGGACAGCAGTTGAATAAGACCACATTAGGTACCTGTTGGACAAAGTCAGGGAATAGCCCCCTTACAGCTGCTCCTGTGTCTCAGGGTCTTACCCGCTCTTAACCCCAGTGATTCTGACCGTGTTTTGTTACTACTCGGAGTTGATCAGCAGCAGTGTAGCCTGCTCCCAGACCTGCAAACTCACCCAAACAGCCTGGAACCACAGACAGCTGGCCAGCGGCCAGAACTCCTACCTGAAGTGAGGTGGAAGTGCAAACAAGCAGGGAGAAAGGACCTGCCTGCACTTGGTGAGAACTCGACTTATGTAAGTCTCATGTTGGAGCAGGATCACGCTCCCCTTGCCTCTGGACAGGGCATGGTCACTCTGGCTCTACTGAACAAA